GTAGATTGCTCATGTAAAATGAAGATCCTCTCGGAACCCACTATGTTTTTTTTTGAACTTTGATCGCGTAGCGCTTTCACTCTCGTCGGAGAGTTTATATCACTTTTCTTTGAAGTGAAACATGATTTGTTGGGACATCTATAATAAATAGTAAAGGAAATCCGAAGACATCTATAAGACCAGCGCAAAGGAGTCTGATCTCAATTCCGGCGAGTCACAAAATTGTCCTGGAGGCTTTTCCATGTATAAATTGCAGAATGATTCCACGTTTTTTTTTCTTCAAAACGGCAGAAAACTTTTGGTGGGCCGTTCTTAATGCTTCAACAGTAACGTAAGTGGATTATTCAAATCCTCTGGATTACTTCCTTAGAGCGGATAAGCTTTAAAGAATACCTTTTCAGGTCTGTACCCTCCAAGAAAAATTTCCAACTATCTCATTTTACGAGTTAATTCTGTCAAATATATAGGTCTTGCAGTTTAAAACATTACAGGAAACATTATGCTTTACAGAAAGTACCCAAACTATTCACTTTGTGAACAGCTTCCTGGCATTAGCTACTCTGCATACACATAGTGAGTGATTCTTTATTAAACAAAAATTAACAAATTTCCTCTTACAGCGAATCACAAATGGACATCGGTTGTTCGTGCGGTCTGCCCTAATCGTAAAGTTTTCATCCCTCCAGCCATTTCAGCCTTAACGAGGTTAAAAATGCATAAGTCTCAAAATATAAACGAAATAGCCAAATTAAGTGCACTGCCTCTACAACAATAATGCATTATTCAGTCAAGAGTACAATGATGGTTCCGTTTACTTTATCTATCTCTTTCAGATCTAGTTTTCTGCTAACTAACAAAGTAAGACAAGGCTGTCAATGAAGACGAGTCGTTTGTTATTCGTGCTGTTCAAGGGCATCTCTTCCGCATGAACAAAGGCCTTGTTCATAACTCTTGGCATTAACGAGTACCGCCATCGTTCCCATTGGCTAGTAATGTACGATTAAATTGCAATCTCGTTGGTTTCATGAAGTGCCATGCGATAGCCAGAAAGGGACGTTATATGGCTCTACTTTTGCCACTCCCTTTTCACCTAATTTTGCTCTCGTTCCCTATCCAAGAAATTCTTTACGAATGCTCAAACATGAACTTCTTTCCCAACCTTAGGAAGAACTTAAGGGAGATCGTGTCACGAGTTGCTCGTATCTTCACTGAGAACGGAGTCTTTTTTTAAAGCTACATCATCTACGTTTTGAAATTCTCACAAAATAACGCGATTTGAAATAGATGCATATGGTGTTCATAACATCTGGTGAAGCAAACGCTATCATTAGACATTATTGCCGACATAGTACGTGCTATACGAGGTCAATGGGACTCTTATAGTAAAGAAATACGTGAACTGTGAATAGCACAAATAAGATAGTTTACCTCAACAAATTGATAAAGAACTTTATGAATTTATGTTAGAAATAAACAATCATAGGTAGCGTGGATAAAATTTGTCAGTTAAAATGGTCAAGTTTTGGGACCAGAGTTAGACAGATATGCGTGCTTGTGCTTCTTTAACACTAATTTCCTAGAAATTTACAGAGTCAGGTATTGTCATAATCTTTTATAACACATAATTTGTTTCCAAACTCTTTCTGTTTAAGTTCAATAGTACACTATCAAGCTTATGTCTTTTCATTAGTAATTTTGTTTTTATCATGATCTTAGACAATTTGAATTTGGCCATATACTAAATTGTGAGTCAATTTTGTTTAGTTTAAGTTAAACAGAGTAGGTTGAGCAAAGGTATATCGTTGCTCATTTGGCTAACTGCATTCATGCCTTTTGCCTGTTTATGTTAATCTTCGATCACGTAAGGTGGATAATCTACGAAAATCTGTAAAGGAGTCATTAGAAGAGAATGTAAGTAGCCATTATTAGCCTTCGATAGGATAAGTTTATGGGTGGTTTATGTGAGAATGCTTGTTCTAGATGTTGTATAAAGTGCAGT